GTTAGTTAGTTCACTTTAATGAAACCAAAGAATATACGAAAAATTTTGTTGAGACTTCATGTTGATGAAGAGAAATGAAGAAGGAAATCTGAAGCCAACGTAATAGGCTATCAATATCGGAAGACAGAAAACATGAGGATAGAGGTTAACAGAAGGTGCCCGGCCATTTTCCATCGTACTAGACACCAAACGAGTTTAAAACAAACCCAGTGCACAGAATTGAATAGTTCGTATATCCCGGATTCTAATTACTGGCTCTCAGAATTCAATCCTGAAATTGTGCTACAATTTTTATTAGTGGCTTTCAGCATCTCCGCCTTCGTTGTAGGCATAACAGCATTACATTGAAATTGATAGGTTTGTAACGATCTCGTCTCGTCTCTTCCCTCTTCTGTCAATTTGCAATTCATCAGCATCTCTATCGCCTGTTGTCCTATATTCACGATTTATAAGCACTGAACAGCGTTTCTTATGTAGCGAACATACAGAGTGTCCCAAAAAAGATGTTTACACTTTGCTCGCCGCTTCAGAGTCAGTTGTGAAGATATTTTGGCCAAGATAATTTCTTTATACCTGTTTGCTTTCCAATTACGAAAATGTTACTCGAATATTTATTAGCAGTAGAGTTTACTTGATGAACGCGAGTAGTATTCTGTATGGGGAAAAATTTTCGAGCAAAACTGTACTACTTTAGCAGATATGAAAAGTGTAATTTGCATTATAACTGAGACAGATCGATAAGATTGGGAGCTGCGTGCCGACTGAATATAGCGCAATGTGTCCAACATGCGAGTGAATTAATTACTAGATGAATAGGTTAATTATCCAGAATGATGAGGAATAAGCTAAATGTACAGTCGAGTATATACACACCGAAATGGTATTTGTACCACAGAAATTCTCTTTCTCAGTTGCAACTTCCACGTCATCAAACCGTGTTTACGTGAATGTCATATAATTTGTTCTTGCCAGCTGCACGTTACGAAATGCGGCTGAAAATTCAGATTGTAGCTATGAAATTTTGAAGGCATTCACAACAGGTGTTCAGAAATTGAACCTGATTTCAAGACACGGGAAATCTCCTTTATGTCTGTAATAGGCGTTTGAGTTGTTTTCTTTTTCCATTTTGATGTCGTTCATTCAGTTTGCCTTTGCATCGTTCACAAATTATCTGGAAGGCAGAAACAATGTTCAATCGTTCACAAATTATCTGGACGGCAGAAACATTGTTCAGTACTGCAAATATTACAGGCCGCCATTAGACGAGTATTTAACCAGTTCTGTCCACCTAACAATTTTGCCCTCCTGTCTAAATGTACATTTTCCAAAACATGTCTCGACTAAAATTTTGTTTGCATTTTTAGTCTTCCACAACATGAACAGTTCACTGTAGCCTCACCTTGTCATTTGTCCAATATTTAAAGTTACTGAAATCTTTTATGTCTAAACTTGTGTTACGTGTTGGATGACATGTTTGAGACTACATTAAATTTTTTTAATAACTGGACAGATTTCGTAGTTTGTCTGTTGTTAATAATTAGTAAGGAGGAAGCATTTTAAAATTATTTATATGTATTGTGTTGAGGGTTTGTATTTTTTTTACGTTCGTGCAAAATTCGTGTTTTGTAAGCGTTCTATAATTTGATAGATTCTCTCTGTTATTGGTATATATATATAAACAAAAAACAATGTAGTCTTCAAATATTATGACTAGTTCTTTATAAATAATATATTTTTATTCCTCTGTCACTACTCCTCATTATCTAATCAATCAACATACGTAAGTAAGGAAGCCAGATATTTCCACTATACTTTGCATATGTATCGAACAATACCTTTGCGAAGGACATCTGATAACTTCTTTACATTAATACAGTCCTTGCATGTGCGAGAAATATGAGTGCATACCCTGCGTCACGTATTCTCAAAAAGAATGACTGAATATGTTGCAGTTATTAAGTTCTTGTGAGGTTCTGAGGAAGGTTAAAACGGTCAAAAAAAAAAACTACAAAGTCCGGCGAGAGTCTGCGTGATGAATACCAGAAACACGTTAATTCAATAACGTAGAAAAGCTTTCCCTCTACACGCCTTTTAGGCGCTTGGGGGGAGAGCTAGATAGTTACTTCTCATTCTTAACCTCGGCACTAGATAGGGGTGAGTGGTTAGAATTACGCCCCAGCCGTGTTTTACCCCCGGGAAAGGATCCCGGTACCCACTGGATAGGAGGTTGGGTGGGCCCCAGAGCCGGGTCTGTATGCAGAGGCTAGAGGAAAAAATCCTCTGCCCCCGTCGGGGATCGAACCCAGATCGTCGAGACCCTAGTCAGCCTGACTGAGCTAATCCGGTAGTAGTAATAAAAATAATGGTAATTGTGATGGTGATGGATTCTGGTGTAGGTAGCGGTATATACGGTAAATATTAAGTATATTCGCCATCGTCGTAGAACATGTTAGCGTTCCAAAGGCTTTGATTATTTGTTTCAGAGTATTCTAATAACTAGAAAGCTTGACACTGCTATTTCAGCTGCACAAGTTTTATGACAGGACATATTCTATGTGAAGAAACTATGTCATTTCTATTCTTGTAAGTCACTTTTTACTCTCAGTTTACTGTCAACACAACACACTTGATTCAATTGTACAGACATACAAATAATTCTACATCGATTGGGTAAAGTTATTCTTGACAGACGACTTTAATTTGGTAATGTTTTTAAATCATCCAAAGTAAATTAGGCTGTTAGAATATTAAGAATGATTTATATATATATATCTCAAATTTAGGGTCTTAAAATCCAATAAATGTTATTACATATCTGTGGTACAATAATCCTTTGTGTCCAGCCATGTTACAAGGTATTCTGTTGCACCGTTTGAAACACTGTATATGTAGGTTTGAGTTGGATTCTCTGTGGTGTTTCAGACAAGCCCGGACGGAAATGTTAGTACCAGCACACTGAGTTTCTCCCCTCAAGTGAAAGATTCTGGGAAGACCCTGACGTGCCGTGCTGAGAACAGACACATCAGTGGCAGCGCCCAGTAAGACACGTGGACTTTGAATGTTCACTGTAAGTACAGGAAACTCAACACTGAATTCAACGTTTTTGTCATACATTTAACTTGACTTGCGTCTCTTATACTTTAAGAATTTTCACGTGTAAATTACTGTCAGACATTGGGGAGATGAAAAACGCGTATAAATTCCCCCGTGTTTTCTGAGCGATGTACCATTAGAGGCCTTGATATGTAGTGCTCGAAGTCAAAATGGTTGGACAAGTCACTGAAACTGCGCGCGCACCTCAGTGGGCCTACGCGGCAGTTTCTATGCTGGCCGCGGATAGGATATTGGTGCTCATGCTACTGCTACTTGATACCAAAAACGCGTATAACGAGACACCAAAAAAGAAAATACACTTTCGTAAATAGAGCTGAATATTCCACCTGTATAGGATATTAAGATTTTGTACCTTTGCTTTGCATATGTATTTGCATAAACACGTGTGTTAAGTGTTATTGTCAGAAAATTACTTTTCGTTCAGTTAATATTGCCAGCAGATGTTGATGAACGTGTGCTAATACAGTACATATAAATAAAGTAAAAATGCTCATTTTTTATTAACTGATAAGAATAGACGAACTACGAAAGTTGGTCAGTTTTAAAAGGAAATAAATGTTGTCTTAAACATAACCAACACGTAACACAAGTTTTGGACACAAGAACAGATTTCAGTAAATTTAAATATTGAACAAATTAAAGGCTGAAATCAGCATTTGGATGTTTCACTGCAACAGTGTTGCATGCATTACGCATTCCGCGCTATAGCGATTTCTAGAATATTAATGTTTTGTGATATGTTAAAAGAAGGAATTTACCAGAAGTTTACCAGACTGCGCTAGTCGGAGCCACCACCATCTAACTTCACCGCCATCCTGTGTGTATGATTCCTGACTGGCAAGGTCTGAGACTTCAGAATTAAATCAATAAACTTGCAGTTTATCACCATGTTTGTCGCTCATTTAAAGTACCACTTGAGCGTAATTATCTAACCGTGATTCGCCCTGCAGATAGAACGTCCTCTACCGCAGACGAAAGTCGGAAACGAAACTTCCACCAGTTTCCGTTAATTCGGTTGGCGCCCAACTTAAGAAAACCTATAACACCTGTCTGCAAGAAACTACAAGATAATCAACACGTGGAGCAGTTAGACGCTGCGCTATAAACTTCTTTCAGATTTGTCGCCTTAAACGAGCAGAATTTGTTTTCTATGATTCTCAGCTTAAGCAGGGATTAATTACTTACTCAAACATAGTTAACAAATTGATCTTT